TCCATCCCCTTCACCATCTCCCCTCATGGTCACATCCATCCCCTTCACCATCTCCCACCACGGCCACGTCCATCCCCTTCACCATCTCCCCTCATGGTCACGTCCATCCCCTTCACCATCTCACCCCACGGCCACGTCCCTCCCCTTCACCATCTCACCCCGTGGCCGTGCCCACCGTCACGGCTCTGTCCATCCCCAGAGCCTTGACCATCCCATGACCATGGCCATCCCCTGGTCATGCCCAGCCCCACATCCATGTCCATCCCACCACAATGTCCATCCCATGCCCAGCCCCATGTCCATCCCACAACAATGTCCATCCCAAAACAATGTCCATCCCACGCCCAGCCCCATGTCCATCCCATGACCACGTCCATCCCATGGTCATGTCCATCCCTTGTCCATCCTTTGTCCATCTCACACCCAGTCCCACGTCCATCTCATGACCACGTCCATCCCATGGTCGTGCCCAGCCCTTGTCCATCCCACATCCAGCCTGATGGACATCTCCATCCCCCTCCCCCTCCCCCTCCCCATCCTGCTCACCCTCCCCCTCCCCATGCCCATCCCCAGGGCCATTCCACAGCCAAGCCCATCCCCACGGCTGTGTCCATCCCTTGTCCATCCCGTGTCCATCCCTGTGGCCACATCCATTCCATGCCCAAGTCTATCCCAAGTCCATCCCACGTCCATCCCACAGCCACCCCGTGGCCGTCCCGTGGCCACTCACTCTCAGTGGGCTCCAGGCCCACGTAGGAGCCGGTGAGGAAGCGGTGGACGAGCGCTGACTTCCCGCTCTTGCTGCTGCCCAGGACACCCTGGGGGGAAGAGACGGGGGGGTCAGGGCAGCTGAGGGCAGGGGGACACAGGGCAGGGATGCAGGGACATGGGGCAGGAACATGGGGACACGGGGCAGGGACACAGGGCAGGGACACAGGGCAGGGACATGGGGACACAGGGCAGGGACATGGGGACACAGGGCAGGGACATGGGGCAGGGACACAGGGACACAGGGCAGGGACACAGGGACAGAGAGCAAGGACACGGGGACGTGGCACCCACCAGGCGGATCTCGGGGACGGAGCGGCCCAGGGTCCACTCCTGGCTGTTCACCAGGGCCTCTGCGGGGGGAGAGGGGTGAGACGGAGCCCAGGACCCCCCGGCACCCCCCAGCACCCCCCAGCACCCCCCAGCACCCCCCAGCACCCCAATCCCGGCAGGAGCTCCCCCCTGCAGCACCACGGCAGCTTCCTGCGTGGGCGGCCACCAACTGTCACCCGGCAACGGCACCGGGCCCGCGGGGGCGGCGCGAGGACGTGATGCCACGTGGGGGGACGGGGACAGGGACGGGGACGGGGTGGCACGAGGCCTCGTGTGCCAGGGCATGAGGACATGGTGGGCACAGGGGTGGAGGGTGGCGGGAGAGCACGGGGTGGCACGGAACAATCAGGACACAACATGGCATGGGTACACGGTGGGGACAGTCAGGACATGGTGTGGCACAGGGATGTGGTGGGGACAGTCAGGACACGGCGTGGCACGGGGACATGGCAGCAACAATCAGGACACGGCATGGCACGGGGACGTGGTGGGGACAGTCAGGACACGACGGGCACCAGGAGGCAGCGGGACGTGGCACGAGGACAGGACGGGCACCAGGACACCGCGTGTGTGGCACGAGGACAACGCAGTGGATTCCGGGACGTGGCGGTGACAGAGACACAGAGTGGCACCAGGACACGGCGTGGCACAGGGACACGGCGGCAACCGGGCCGGGCCACGAGCGGCACCAGGACACAGCGTGGCACGAGGGCTTGGTGCCAGGACACGATGGGTACCAGGACATGGCGTGGCACAAGGATGTGGCGTGACACAGGGACATGGGGGTGACAGGCCACAGTGGGAACCATCAGGCCACGACTGGCACCAGGACAAGGTGCGGCACGAGGACACGGCACGAGGACATGGTGGGCACTGGGACACGGTGTGGCATGAGAATGTGGCATGAGGACACGATGGGCACCGGGACACGGCGTGGCACAAGGATGTGGCGTGACACAGGGACACGGGGGTGACAGGCCACAGTGGGAACCATCAGGCTGTGACTGGCACCAGGACACGGTGTGGCACGAGGACATGGCATGAGGCCACAGCACAAGGACACGGTGGGCACCGGGACACAGCATGGCACGAGGATGTGGTACGAGCACATGATGGGCACCAGGACACGGTGGGCGGGAGGACAGGACGCCCACAGTGCGCGACATGTTGGGCACGAGGACACACGTGGCACAAGGATGGGGTGTGGCACGAGGACACGCCCTGACACGAGGACACGGCGCAGCACACGGTGGGCACGAGGACGTGGCACAAGGATGTGCCCCCTCCACCCCCTGCCTGGCACCCCCGGCCCCCCTGGGCACCACAAAAGGGGAAACTGAGGCAGGGGACGGTCAGAGGGTCTCCCCATTCCTGTGCCTCAGTTTCCCCCGTCCCCACA